GGCCTAACACAGCCCTTATTTCCCCTGAGAATTTACAGAAAGCATCTGGCAGCTCTGACAAAGGAAGTCCCTTCCTGGCTGGCAAACGAGCTGCAGTCCTGCTTCAGCAGGTCAAAGAAACCGTCAAAGAAACCATCAAAGAAAACATAAAAGAACGTCTTTTTGACGAAGACGATGAGGATGAGGAAGCCAGACAAAGAAGAGAGGACGGTGACCCCGAATACCGGTCCAGCAAATCAAAGCCGTTAACTCTCTTAGAATATAACCTAACTATGGACACAGCCAAGCTGTTTATGTCGTGCCTTCACGCTTGGGGGTTGAATAATGTTCTGGATGAACTTTGCAGTGAGCGTCTAGGGATGTTGAGGCCTCACCGTTCTGTCTCTTTTGGCTTGCTTTCAAGAGGCGGCCACATGTCTTTGATGTTGCCAGGGTATCATAAGCCTGTAGACCAGGTACCCTCTAGTGATAGAACAGAGATAGTAAAGCCCGACCCTCTGACCGAGCGACACATCAGGGGGACGTACGGCATTTCACGCGCAGTAACAACCCAACACCTCCTCTCCATCATCTCCCTGGCAAACACCTTGATGAGCATGACCAATGCAACTTTTATTGGAGAGCATATGAAAAAGGGGCCAGCCAGGTACCTTTAACAACTTCGCTTAACTAGTGTTGCATTTCTTGTTTTCTCTTCCCTTCTCCCTTCCGGAATTCCATACTAAATTGCAACCTTGTTTTAGTAGTCCATGATGCAGTGGACAAACCCCGCCATCTTCCGCATGAATGAGTGTAAAATAATGCCAATATTGCCATACCCTTTGTTTGTATAACGATGCTTGTGGTGGCATCATTTGTGTAACGATAGCGCTGTGGGTGTCATGCTGTCTGAATGAACCATCAGGAGTCATGGACGGCTCTCTCTCCTAGGTCTGTCCATTAAATTGAGACTACATTGTATAGATATGAGCTGTGATGGCGCAGTGGTTAGAATGCAGTACTGCAGGTTAATTCTGCTGACTGCCAGCTGCCTGCAGTTTGGCAGTTCGAGTCTCACCGGCTCAAGGTTGCCTCAGCCTTTCATCCTTTTGAGATCTGTAAAATGAGGACCCAGATTGTTGGGGGACATAAAACTGCTTAGAGAGGGTTATAAAGCACTATGAAGCGGTGTATATGTCTAAGTGCTATTGCTATTTGTACTTGCTGGGGAGATCATAATCCAGCAAATACAAATATATTCAATAAGTAGTATTTAATTTGTTAAATTATTTGTTGAATTGAAACTTAGTTAAGAATGCAGAACTAGCAATTAAGGTTTGGATTTAACTGATACCAGACTTGGGCAGGAAGGGATAGCAATTGCCTTGGAGGAGGCATGTTCATTACAAAAAGCCTTACAATAATGATAAATTTAGAGGTCCAATACTTTTTTGCTCAGGTAAATCTTATTTATTTCATGTATTATTTGTTAATTTGTTTCCTATCTTTCTCTATATTTTATATCATGATGTTGTCTTACCTCATATGCCCGATCTTGGCTGTATTCTGTCTTTGATCTTATTCACACAATTTCACCCTGCCCTTCCCAGCCAACCCTGTTCAAAGTCATTGGTCTGCACAATCAGCTTGCTGCTCTCAGGTGTTCTTTGTAGCGCTTTGTTTTGCTCTCAAAGCTGCTGCTTTCTGGGACTCTGCATTCTGCTTCCACCAGCTCTTCTTCTTGGCCCTGCCTGGCAAAATTCCTTGACTGACAAAGTCCTCAGCATGTCGCTTCTGTCATTGAAGGTGGGGTGGACTAGTCCCATCAGGCTGAGCTGGTTCCTCAGATATAGCCTGAAGGGCTTTAAAAATTATAACACCCTTGATAACACCTTGAATTGAACCCAGGAGCAAAGTGGCAATCAGTACAGCATGTGGAACAGTGGTGTAACATGGGCCACCTTAGGGGCCCCAAGAACTACCCGTGCTGCTGCATTTTGCACCAGCTGAAGCTTCTTGATACACTTCAAGGGTAGCCCAATGTAGAACACATTGCAGTAGTCCAGCATGAGATGACCAGGTCTTGAGTGACTGAGAACAGAGACTCCCAATCCAGGAAGGGGTGCAATTGGCACACAGCATATAATTGTACAAAGGCTCTCTTAGCCACAATTGCCACCTGCTCATTGAGAAGGAGTCATGAGTCCAGGAGAACCCATAGATTGTGGACCAGGTCTGTCTGGGTAGTCCAACCCCATGAGAACTAAAAGTGTTAGAGTCCCACAGCTGGAAATTCCATGCACCCAAAGCCACTCATTAATGAGAGCCTTCATGAGAACCATGGCAAGAGCCTTCATTAGCCTGTCCCACAAGAAAAAGCAAAATAAATTCTGGAAGAGTGTAAATATTTTCTAGAAAATGATGAAGATTTGGACAAAACAAATGGGCTAGAAAGAAGATCAGGGGAAAAAAAGTACTGCAGTTCGGTGTAGATAAAGTGGAAGTTTTTAATATGTTTTCTTAAGACACCAGGCTCAAATTGTTCAGGCTTAGCAGAACCAAGAAACAGACTCCCTGTCCCGAAAAGCCGCTCTTTATTTAGTTACTGTGAATTCATGGCATTCACACGCAGAAAAGTCCCGGCAATAATTCTCCCAAGGAAGGGTTAATTGCAAGAACAGACCTTATCAGTCCTTGGATAGTTGCCAGGTGAGAGCTTCCAGTCCCAAAGCTGTAAATTAAATACCTGGCAAGGAGTCTCCGTGAGGCAGAACTCTGATAAGCAAATCTTCCAAAAGAAATATGAACTAATTGTCTCCTGCAACCATCACTCCCCTTTTGTTTCCATTCAGCGTCCACGTGTGCCTTTCCTTCCAAGTTGACCCCTGTTCCTCAGTTGTTCTCCTCTCCTGACAGCTTTGCACATACGCACAGGCTCCAGCTGTTCTTCTTCCCCACTTATCTCCACCTCTGTAGGCAGCTGGGAAATGTTGGATGGCCCTGACCCCATCTCTGCTTCTGACGCAGAGCATCCATCAGAGCCTTCCCCAGACTCCAGGATTAGCCCAAGCTCCTCATTGTCTGAGTCTGCTACCACCTCCGGTAGCAGCTGGTGGGCCACAACACAAATATGAAATTATAAACAATCTCCTTTACGTGCTTAGTTATAAATTCACAAGTGTTTTATTTGTAGGCCACCTAGACCAGGGACTCCTGACCTTGGAAGAGTGAAGACTTCTACTCCACTTGCTAGTCCAACAGCACAAGGATTGATTAAACAAGGTAATGAACATCAGGCTTTTGAGAATTTGTGAACCACTACTCTGTAGTCAAATCTTATTTGCATCATTTTTTTCCTGCTCTGAATTATAAGTATTTTATTGAATTTGGATTAGAGTTTAGACCACTTTTGCAAAACTTGAAATGGAAAACACGGTTTTTAGCAATGGGATGTAGCTGAAATCTTTGATAATGGTGAGAAATTACTAATATCCATGAAAGTTAAGTCTTCTTTCTAGTACAATATTTGAACACATAAATATTTTTATTTAAAAAATCGATCATATCGATTTTCTTAGGAATGTTACTTCTTATCCAACTTTTTGTTGCATTTATCCATCATTCTCTTTCAATGCCTTATAGGAACTGTGAATTTGGAAATATTTTCTGTTACATTTTAGAAGTGGATTCAGGGTCAGCCTGTTTTGTGGTGAAACTGGCAGGTGACAGCTTAATTTCTTATAGATTGCAATTCATTTGACATTTGACCCATCTGGTGGGGAAGTAGCAATTGCCTTGGTCAGATGTTTGTTCCATTTTTTACGTTTATTGTAATTAAAGTTATAGTAAGTAATTACAGTTTTTAGGTTCAAAATGTTCTCTTCCCTTTCACCTTTTCTATTATTGATGTTGTAGATGAACTTTCTCTAGTGTTTTAGCACCTGTAAAAGCTGTAAGTTGTCCTGCCCTCATTTTTTAAAGCAGTAAAAAAGTGAAGGATTTTACAGCGTTTGCAGAAAATAAAACTTAAAATATTTATTTGCCTACATGTAAATGATTTATAATTTATAATAAATGTTACAAATGCAATCCTCAGCAAAATTAAATCCATTAAAAAATCCACAAACCTAACAGACAAGGACATACTACTACTACTACTACTACTACTACTACTACTACTACTAATAATAATAATAATAATAACAAAATAACAACAGCAACAGCAACAGCAACAACAACAATAATAATAAATAATAAATAATAATAATAATAATAATAATAATAATAATAATAATAATAATAATACAATATCTTTAATTATAGAAAATTCTAAACCAGTTAAAGGCCAAGTTAATAATAGAGAAAGCCTTTTGGACAGTTTGAAGTTTCACCAAATCAAATTTCTACAAACAGAAACATCAGCGAAAAGGTGTTGATTTGTGGCCACCTACTCAATTGCTCTGCTAGATGGACAGAAAAGTAGCTGTTTTCTGATGTTGTATGCACTTCTCCAAAAATGAAGTGAAAGTTCATTAATATATTGACCAAAAAAGCTAGCTCACTATTTTTTATAAACCCGTCTCATTGATGTTTTTTAAAAAAATTATGCCGTACAAAGTACGGTACTTGTTATATTATACTATATGTTATATTATAACATGTTATAATAATGCTAGATAAATTTTAGGCATTGTTAAGAGTTTAGTCTATAGCACCATCATGCAAGCACCTGCAATGGGCCAAGTACATCTCCATTTACAACTTTTTATAATTCCTCCACCACCATCACCCAAAAATCTCATGGAATCTCACATGATTTTAGCAGTCTCGTGAACTTGATATTATGTTAGGTGTTTTGCAGTTTTGACTTTCTTGGCAAGATCTTGCATGATTTAACCATCTTGCACGATTTCTTCTATTGCTCTATGGTTGTTTATTGTTTAGGGCCGCAGCCCACTGGTGGGCTGTGAGAAAATTTTGGTGGGCCGCAAAGAAATCTCACCCCCAGAGCACCCCCCCCCAAAGCAATTAATCCAGGCTGTGCAAAAACACAAGGCTGCTCAGCCTCCCCACCCACTCTCTCCTTACCCGGCAAACTTGTCTGCTAAGTTGCTATTTTTCCTTTTTCCGACCGTCATCTGTTCTGCTGTGCCGGGAGATTTAGATTAGCTAGGAAGCAGGAAATGGTTGGATTTCTTGCTTTCTAGCTAAACACAGCTGAACCTCCCTTAGGATTGAAGGTTTGTTTGTAAGCAAAGTCAGTGCAGATTCACAACAAGCAAATTTGAGGGACTGAGCTAGCCAATGGCAGATAGATAGATCACTGAATGATTCTGTGAGCAACTCAATCTGTCTGTTTTGCCTGATTTTGGATAAAAGGTGTTTTTTTTTTAATAAAAAATTCAATATTTGCATACATGGTGTGTTGTGAGTTAATTTTATGAGTTTGCTTGCAAGAAAATTTTATGTGACAGACTGAGCTAGCCAATGACAGATAGATAGATTTCTGAATGAATCTGATTCTGTGAGCAACTCAATCTGCCTGCCTGTTTTGCCTGATTTTGGGTAAAAGTTGCTCTATTTTTTATAAAAAAATCAATATTTATATAAATATTTATAATATTTAGATACAAGCCATGCCCAACCAGTCACATAACCACCAAGCCACACCCACAAATTAGGCCACGCCCACAGGACCAGTTAGTGGTCCCTGGGATCTAAAATTATGAGTTTGCTGGTCCCTGAGGTCCAAAAGGTTGGCGACCCCTGGTTTAGGGGAACCAGGGTGGCTTGAGCTATTGTAAATGTCTTCATAACCATTGCCGTTGGGTTTCTAGCTCCCGTTCAGTCATCACTAAGCAGATCTAAAGCTAGAAGTCTAGTGGGTTTTTTGGCTTTCAGTTTCATTGGTCTCATTTTCCCCAACAAACGGAATAGGAATAGGAATAAGAATAGAAATAGAATAGAAAGAATAGAATAGAATAGAATAGAATAGAATAGAATAGAATAGAATAGA